CAAAGACCTGTATAAGTAATTTTCGAACTTCAAATACGAAATTTAAAAAATTCCGGTGAATATCAAGTGGGATATACGAAGTCGTGCACCTGTACAGACAATTCAAAAAAAATATATTGGGAGGGACCGATATATGGGGACTGTACGAAGACTTGGACCTTCATAAGTCATTTTTTGCCATAACTTTTAGTATCCATTAACATAATCAAATTTGAAACATTTCCGGTAAATAATGCAGCTAAATCCATCAAAATACTGAATACCTGGGGGTACCGTTGAATTGAGGCTATACGAAAAGTGGACCAACTGGCAAAATACAAAAGTGTGCAGAATTGTAGCCTTTGGAATATAGCGTGATTACAACAGACGGACAGAGGAAGAGAGACATCGCTAAATCGACTTAGAATTTCACCCTGATTAATAATGTATATACTTTGTTGGGTCTGACATAAGTATTTCGAAGAGTTACAAACGGAATGACAGAGTTTATATATCCTCCATAGTATGGTGGACGTTTAAAAAGTACGGCAACACAATATTATTTTATTATTAAAGTAAAGCATGATTGTATATGGGAAAAAGTGCAAATGTTTTCTTTAAATTGTGGTGAATAAATTTTATGATACAAATTTCATATAACACATTTTAGTAATCTGCATCCTGTATATTATTACGTGCATCCAACTGTCTAATAGTAACAATATTTCTGCTAAAAATTCTACTCCAAAGCTGCATAAATGGTTTGATGATAAAAAAGTATGCAAATTCCACCAAAGAAAATACACTGAAACCAATCATCAAGCTCATAATGCCACCAGTTTGAGCTGCAAAAAAAAAAAAATAAATATAAATAAATAAATAAAAATAAAAAATAAAATAATATTTAAAAAAGACTAAATATTTTTTTTTTTTCAAATTTTCCTCTTCAACTTACACAAGTACTCCGTAATACCCGTATACGGAGTCTTAATGCTACTGCGATAGTAATTTTGTGGAAAATATATATTAACCAATGCCAAATTTTCCGAAATATACTCCTTGGAAAAGTTGCGCATAAACGCATTGTCCAATTCAAAATCATCGGTGGCCAATGGGGTTTCAAAAACATCCGGCATATAGCTGAGATCATGGCAACTGGAGAGGCATTCCTTTTTACAGCTCATCGTTTGGGGATCCGTGTAGACTTTTTCAGCTTCCTTTTGACAATCGAAATGGGGAATATAACATGTCGAGGCATTAGCATATATTTTCGGCATAAAATAGGGTATACAGTTGCAGGTTCGTAGAAAAAACTGGGCATCACATTCACTTTCACAGTTGCGTCGAGTATAATACTGGTAATAGAGCAGCGGTCGCTCATGGGTGAAGTAACACTGGCGATCTTTGGGAGCCACTGAACGCAACGTGGGCTGGGCCTCATCTTTATTGGCCGCAATGCGAAAACTTGTCTGATAGCCGATATTTACGGAGAGACCGGTTTCCTTGATTTGTGGTACATCAATTGGATTGTGGAGTTGTAACTGGAAATACAAAAAAAATAAATTTAATAATACAAAAGAAGTAAATAAATTAAAATTACAAATATTTTAGAATCAGTTTCTAATTTTTTAAAAATGAATCTCAGATACCTACCTTAAAACCCGGTCCATTTGTCGATGAGCAATAATAATCATTTATATCACCATTCAAAACAACTGTCAACCCTTTGGAGACACCTTCACCCACTGCCTTGCGGGGATAAAAACGACTGGGTAAATCATCAGGATAACCAGTTTCCGGATGCCAATCGATCGGTATCCATTGGCCAGTAATAGAGGTATAATCTCGAGCCATGATAAAGCTAAAACAATATTTTAAACTTAATTAAAGGTATATATTTCTTAACGAACCACCACTTACTCTCCTTTGTAGATCAAATATGGATGGGCAATGTTAAAGGAACAGCAGATACCCTCATCCAAAAATACTTCTCGAAACAAATCGGTACATATTATTTGTCGTCGATCCCATTCACACATGACAATCATTTCCGAGCAGGGCTGGCCATTCTTTAAATAAAAGAAGTGAAAATTTTACTTTTATTTATATAAAAAACATATGAAATTTAATCATATAAAAATTAAATACATTTTAACAAATTAGTAGTTGATCCATTTTTTGTTTCGCTTTTACATAAAATATTCATTATTTAATTTTTATATAATATATTCATCATAAAATACCTACTGATTTATCACCAAAAATGCAAAATAAAATAATATTTAGGCAATTTCTTAAAAACATTAAGGTTTTCTGTTCGGGAATTAATTGAAAAAAAATTAAATCCATGACTACAAAATTTGGACACGAAATCTTAAAAATAATTTTTTGTAGGTTGTCATTAAAAAAAAAATATTTATATTGTAAAAATATTTATGATTTATACACGGCTGGAAAGTCCCTTAAAATATTTACAAATTCAACATTATTAATCAGAAAGTTTTTGAAAAGGTTAAAAATTACAAAAATCTTACTACTCTTGGCCAGGAAATCTCTGATAAAAAAAAATCAGTCGAAATTTGTCAAGAATAAAACGATTATCAAAAATTAGTCCGAACCGGAATCAACGCTCGCATTTTACGAGATTTATAAGAAATGAACAAAATTTATCAAAAACAATAATTTGAATCCACAGGAATATATTCTGGATTTGATTGAATAGTTTTACCGCGAATGGGATGGTCCCAAATGAAGTAGTAATACAGGGTGAGATGAAAAAACTGCAGCCAAATTCCGACTGCTGTCATTCCTAAGCCAAATTATTCCAGTGACAGCTCATTATATTTTTACAAGCGAACAAAAGCATTTTAATAAGAACTTTAGAGAAAAAAGTTATTGGTGATGGAATTCAAGCGTGATAGTCTCTAGAATAAATCATTTGTGTCTCGTATCATCGCTCGTTACCGTGATACGTAGCCCGACGTCAAGGAAGTGGACGGAAGGAAACAGCAACATCAGTAGAACTGGTTCGAAAAGTAAGAAGCGATTTGATCGAGACCCACGTCGCAGTGGCCGAAAAATGGCTCGTGAGCTGAACATATCACAATATTCCATTCGGTAAATATTGAAAAATGAGCTCGGGGTAAAACCATTGAAATTCCAAAAAGGTCAAGAACTTACACCACAACAGAAAGAAAATAGATTCAAAAGAGCTAAAGAGTTGTTTCGCTTGACCGAAAGTTGTGAACTGCCGCATTTGGTTTTCTCCGCTCGCATGAGAAAACATTCGTTGTCCAGCAGTTTGTAAAAAAACAAAATGATCGAGTTTACCTGCCATAGGGGTCAGCTGAAAATGTGCACCTTCGGTTGGCCACCAGAACTCAATCGCCGGCCATGGAGATGGTGTGGGTCGATATAACAACCGATTGTCGCTCTCCGCTCGTATTAATCGACCGTGGCATCAGAGTTAACGCCGAACATTATCTCGAAAATATTCGGAAGGTTGTATTAAAACCTTGGGCATGCAACCATTTTGCCCACAGACCTTGGACATTCCAACAGGACTCACCACGCGCCACCCAAGAATGGTTACAAAATGAGGTTTCTCGCTTCATTTCCAGGGCACAATGACCACCAAAATCTTCGGATACAAAACCGTTGGACTATTGTGTCTGGAGTATTTTGGATAGCAAGGTTGGCACTAATAAATACCAAAGTGTCGATCAACTCAAGCAAGCGTTTCGCCGAGAATCGGCCAAAATACCGCAGGGCAACATTCGGGCAACGTGTGACGATTTCATTGGCCGTTCGAGGGCCATAATTAAGGTGACCAATTCGAACTAATCTAAACCCATTCTAAAATTTGATGATATTTCCGACATTTTTTGCTTTCAATATTCAATAAAATTTAAAAAAAATTTAAAAATTATGGCGTTTGACTTTGTTGCAGTTTTTTTATTTCACCCTGTATATATATTCTTGAGCAGCGTAAAATTCAAAATTAATTTTGCGACGTCCAAATGTCTGTTGCAATCTTTTGAACGAAGTGAAATAAATGGCTAAACATTTGCACATATGTGAATTTTGTCAGTAGGCAGGTTGAGTTCATAAATGGGTCATCTCGGTCAACGTTTACGTATAGCCTCATAGCGTAATTTTTCACCAGAATTGTTCTTAATGTCGTATTTGAAGTTCGTAATGGATATCTTAACCTATGACGGAAAATTGTTCTTGCAGGTCCACGTTTTTTTATACCCTACAAATAACATTAGCGACATTAGGCCCTATTGGGTACCACATACTATGATAAAAATTTGTAATCTTCGTATAGTCCCCATATATCGGTCTTCATTTAAAGTTAATTTTCATGAACTTTTTTAACATATTTTAAGCTCCTTCCAATTGGTGGATGGCATTTATGGTTCGGCTCGGCTTTTTTACTTGTCTTTTTTAGATAATTCAAAAACCCTTTTGCGCAATATTTTGTTCTGAAAGACGGAAAAATACAACAAATATGAAAAAGCTAGTCGACGGATACATGCGATAAACGTATGTTACCGTTTACGATTTATTGGGTACCGAAGGAGTGGAATGTGTATAATCTTCGAACCTTATATCAATTTAGTAAAAATATTATAAATTTAATCATTTATACAAATGTTTCTTTATATGTATATTAATTAAATAAAATATTTTATTTGGTGGATACCACAATACCTTGGAATCTTTGATATATACTTACTCTTAATATAAAATTCACTAGGGAATCGTTGGCTTTGTGGAAAGGTGCCTTCGCATAAGCAGTGTAATTTAACTCTTGGAAACACACCCGTGTTCGCATTGCATAATCCGAAGAATTTCTGTAAGAAATAAAAAATAAAAGAATTGTGTGACGGAACTTAATTTTTGCCTTAAATAATATCATAAAATCATACGAAAATTACATTTCAATACTTACACATTAAAATTGCTCACTTTCCTCTTGCTGGCCTGATTCATATTGCAAATGGTTACCGACGGAAATGGGTCATTGGTAATCAATGTGGCTTCGGGATTCATGATTATAATAACCGGGGAAGTTTTCCACTTATCAATGATGTTAAGGGCAAAATTCAAAGAATTATAAGCGGCCGCAACGAAACATATTAGGAAAAATAATCTGTGAAAAAAAGAAATAAAATATATGTCACTTGATTTAAATAAAATAAAATATTATCAAAGTAGGTATCGAACTTAACCAAATTTATCATTTTTATATAATCATTTTTTTTAGAATTGTCCATTGATATCAGTCATTAATTCATTGAGAACATACATTTTCTACTTATAGTTATTTCAAGAATTTTAATGTTAGATTCCTTTCAATAGTGTTTAGCCCTTTTAGTACTCAAAATGCACAATTTGTCCTTTTTCAGAAAGAATAATAGGAAAATGTTAACGTTTCACATCAAAAAGTCTTCAAAAATTTTCATTTTCAAGTTTAACCAGGAGGATATTCGTAAACCCATTGCACTATGAACCCACATTCAATTTGTCTGTCCAAACCACCATTTTTGTCTATAAAGAATTACCCTGTCACCAAATTTCAGATTGTAAGCCTTATCTGTTCACACAATATCTAATTGTACCAAATATAATACTATTTAGTACTTTTCGTGACCTTGTAGCACACATTTCCAAAACCACTTCTTTATCACAGACACACCACCATCTGGGACCCCAGCACCAACATTTCAAATAACCAATTCCTTCCGTTCGCCCAAAACGGAATTTTACAAATTTTGTTATCATTTAGTCCAGTTTTTATGCTTAGTACACATTTTCAAAACTACATACTTATGTCAATCCAATTTTAAAGAATTGATTCTCATATCAAATTCAACATTTTCCCACTATCCGTTCACATAAGTTTAAATTGTACATAATTTAGTGCATTTTAGTAATTTCGCTACGCGTATGGTTAGAATGTCGAAGAACCCTTTAGTTTGTCTAACCTACACAACATCAAAGACTCTCCTCCAAATTTCCCATATCCAGGTTTATCCCTTCACCCAATATCAAATTAGTACTATTTAGTACTTCTTAGTACATATTTTCAAATACTCTTCCATGTTTCAAGCTATTTTAGTCCTCCAATTCAATCCCTTACCCTAATTCTAAATTTAGTACCCTTTAGAAGAATATGTACCATTTTATACCATTCGTTCGTTTATTGACCGCATTTCTAAATCGAACTCTTTATCTTATGGTGGTGGGTAACCAGAACCCCAATACCAACATTTTAAATTTTTAGATTAATCCCTTCAACCAAAACAAAATTGTACCGAATTGAGTACTATTTAGTACATAAAGTACGAATATTATTGTCTTTTTGTACTTTTAATGGACTTCCTATTCGAATTTCTAAAGACTCAGGCTTTTCTAACCCCTACCTGCCAACCTTTACCCACATGCAACATTTCAAGATTTTAGCTTTAGCCGTTTTTCCTGGGCGTTGATGAAACAGTATTTCCGTCAGTTACTAGTTATACCATCCACCATAGTATATCAAATTTGTCATTCCGTTTGTAACACCTCGAAATATACATTTTAGACGCCACAAAGAATATATATTCTTGATCAGCATATATTTTCTCTCTGTCCGTCCGTCTGTCCACCTGTGGCAATCACTCTAGATTCCGAATCACTCTAGATTGAAAAAGTGTCTGAAGTAGCTTGATAACATTTTACTCAGATGTGTATTTCGTCTGCAGGACTTTTGGTATTGAAATGGGCTATATATGCCCCCGATTAGACATATTATCGACATTATTGAATGGAATTGAATTTAATTTCGTATTTGAAAGTCCTAATGGGTACTACAGTCTATGGCAGAAAATTGTCTTTGCAGGTCCAGGTCTTCGTAAAGCCCCCATATGTCGGTACCTCCCTATTTTCGGTGTTTTGGCGATTTCAGCGACATTATTCACCAGAATTGTTTCAAATTTAGTATTTGAAGTTCTTAGTAGGTTCTACAGCCTGTGACAATAAATTGCCTTCGTATGTCCTTCGTATAGATTTCTAAATAAAGGCAACTCCATGTATTCGGTATTTTTAAAATTTTAACAGAATATTTAACGGATTTTTTATTTATTTATTTATTTTTTCTTTTTTTTTTGGAAAATTTTCAAATACGTTCCAAGTGGTGGAGTGTATTCAAAGTTCGGCCAAGCCGAACTCACTACTTTTTGACTTGTTTTTTACTCTTTTATATATGTGGATTTATTTTACACTATATTCAATTAATTCCTAGGGACGGAAGAAAAATATTTCAAAAAGTCAGATTTCTTGTTAGATTTTCATACCGATATCAGAGTTTCTGCTATTCAAAATAAAACTTAAAAATAAGATAACTTACTTTTCCAAAAACGTTAAATATTTAAATGCCAAATATTTCAAACCATTTAAAGTAGTACTGATCAAAAATGTTCTCAACTGGTTGAGGTAATATATGATTAAGCGGGCGAATATCCCAGGTTGAGGAGGTTGATTTTGAAAATTATTTCCGTTGGTCATTAGGCAAGACCGGTAATGTACTTAGCGTCGTTTAGGTTCAAAGTAAACTGGAAACTAAATTTGAATTTAGTCGGAAATATTAAGTAAATAAAATCGATTAACTATAAATTCATTACTGTATATGGTGTAATTTTCGTAAGTTGCAATTACCCTCCTACCCACTTGGGTTAATTGATTTTTGAATCCTCACGACATTGATACATTTTCAAAATTACATTCTTATATCAATTGAAATAAATACTCCCATAATTACCTCTAAAAACCATCCACTCCGCCTTCCTTACGATAGTCCACATTGGCCAAGACAGCACCCTTTACCTTTTCCACACCACAAACAGCGGTGTTCTTATGACGCACCCTCTCTGTTGCATGGCCTCGTGCCTCTAAATCTTCAACCACCTGCTGTAAAATGCCGAATTCATATTCCAAGGTATTCGGTAACAGCTGATGATGGAATCGAGCAAAATCAATTGCCTGTTTAATATTTTTATCCATCCATAGAATGCGTATCAATATTTGTACTAATGTCGAAATAATACGAGACCCTCCGGCAGCACCGGTCACTAAACGAACATCTCCGCTTTCTTTGTGTGTCACAATGAGCGGTGCAATGGAAGACATAGGTTGTAGGTGAGGTTTGATTCTATTGCGTTTCGGCACATTTGGTAAATTAAAGTAGTTTCTCAGGCCATTAACGGTGAAATCTGACATGGCATTGTTGAAGAGTATACCCGTACGAGACCCCATGCGACCGCTGCCAAAACTGAAAGGAGAAAAAATACAATAATTCAAATATTTAATTACAATAAATAACTATTAAAAAAATGAATTCAATTAACATAACCTAAAACTCAAAATAGTGTACCAGAATTTGACACATCATTTCTAACAATCCGTTAACATAGAATGCAGAGGGATTTTCTCAGACAATCGACTAATATCGACTAAATCGTCATTTTAAATGATTAAGAATACTTTGTGAGGTCTAAAATGCTTAGAATCCCCTTCACATAGTTAGGAGGATATATTAATATTGATATGAAAACAGTGTTCACGTTTTTTCACGGATCATTCCGTTTTAACTCCTCGAAATAATCATGATAGACCCGAAAAAAATTCTAAGCAAATTTAGCGATGTCTGTCTGTCGGTCCACGTTTTCGTATATCCCCCTTATAACGGTACCTTCCAATATTCGGTATTTTGATGATTTTCGAATTTCATATTTAAAGTTCGTAATGGCTACTACAGACTATGACAAAATTTGCGTATACTGGTCCACGCCATCGTATAGCCCACATACAACGACACCTCCAGTTATTCGGTGATTTGATGATTTCGGCGACATTATCTTCGGATTTTTTTTTTTTTCAAATTTCGTATTTGAAGTTCGCAATAAGTACTGCAAGCTATGACAGAAATTTTGATTTTTTTCGACGGATTTTTTTTTTTTTTTGAAAAATTTTAAGTTTCTTCCAAATGGTGGAGATCATAAAATTTTGGCCCGGCCGATCTTAGTAGCTTTTTAACTTGATTTTCTTTAATTTCTGACATCCCATAATTTTTATCAACATAAGTTCATACAAAAGAAAAATAATATTTTAGCCCACTCCTGCTGGTATCTCAGCCATAGGCGGTCGAATTTTTCAAAAAATAAAAGATACTGTGTCGGCGGTAAAAGGTGGCTGGAAAATTGTTACAATTGTTAAAAATTCAAAATGGCCTCGTTATAAAAAAGGATAAAATTTAAAAAAAATCAGGATGCCAGCAAAAAAGGAATATTTATACCCCCTAGATATATGGCTACAGAGGGTATACATCATTTGATACGGCCAAAACGTGCCTCATCGAAATAACGATTTTAGACACTAGGTCTCTTTGGTCCAAATCCGTTTCAGGACATTTGGAGTCGACCTGGGCGTGTCCATCCGTCTGTCTGTTTGGCTAGCTGGTGCGCGCGATAATTCTCGAAGGGAGCATGGGATTCGGTCCAAACTTAGTACGTCGTAAAATTTGTAATACCCATGAAACTCATAAAACGCCAAATTAACATCCGATTCCATTCGGACTTAACACATCTCAATATTTCTATTAACACAAAATCTTTTATAAGCATGGTAGAGATCACATATATTTCTCCTAACCGGAGATCTGATGTGAATATAGAATTTATCGGCTTAACATTTTCATTGACAATTTTTCGCTCAACTATATCTGAAACCTCACCCACATTTTAATATTCTCTAAAAATGGTCACATACAGGGTAAGATGAAAAACTGCAACCAACTTCAGACTGTTGTCATCTCTAAGCCACTTGTCCGACAGCTGTTAAATTATTCCAGTGACAGCCCATTATATTGTTTACAAGCTTACAAAAGCATTTTGGTGACAACTTTCCAGAATAAAAGTTATTCGTGATGGAATTCAAACGTCTAATTTCTTCATATTCGGCTGGAAAACCACAAGTGGCTATTGTTAGAGCACTCCAGCATTTAAATGTGAATAAATCTTTTGTGTCTCGTACCATCTCTCGTTACCGTGATACTGGTAGCGTAGCCCGACGTCAAGGAAGTGGACGGAAGAAAACAGCAACATCAGCAGAAATGGTTCGAAAAGTAAAGAATCGACTTAATCGAAACCGGCGTCGCAGTGGCCGAAAAATGGCTCGTGACCTGGATCGCATATCGCAATATTCCATTCGACAAATATTGAAAAATGAGCTCAGGGTAAAGCCATTCAAATTCCAAGAAGTGCAAGAACTTACACCGCAACAGAAAGAAAATAGACTAAAAAAGAGTTAAAGAGTTGCTTCATTTGGCCGAAAGTGGCGAACTGCTGAATTTGGTTTTCTCCGATGAGAAAGCATTCGTTGTCCAGCAGTTTGTAAACAAACAAAATGATCGTTTTTACTTGCCAAAGAGGTCAACTGAAAATGTGCACCTTCGGTTGGCCACCAGAACCCAAGCGCCGGCCATGGGTATGATGTGTGGTATTAATCGACCGTGGCATCAGAATAATTACCACTCAAGAATGGTTACAATATGAGGTTCCTTGCTTCATTTCAAGCTCACAATGACCGCCAATTCTCCGGATACCAATCCGTTGGAGTATTTTGCAAAGCAAGGTTAGCACTAAAACATACCAAAGTGTCGATCACCTCAAGCAAGCGCTTCGCCGGGAACGGACCAAAATACCGCAGAGTAACATACGGACAGCGCGTGGCAGTTTCATTGGCCGTTTGAAGACCCTAATTCGTGCCAAAGGTGACCAATTCGAACAAACTTAAACTTATTCTAAAATTTGTTGTTATCTCCGACAGTTTTTGCTTTCATTCAAGAAAATTTAAAATAAAAATCATGGCATTTGACTTTGTTACAGTTTTTTGTCTCACCCTATATATTCTTGATCAGCATAAAAATCTATGTCGATTTAGATATGGCCGTCCATCTGTGCAAATCACTATAACATCCGAACGAATTTAACTAGGTTGATAAAATTTTAAGGAAATGTGTGTTTGGTCTGCATGGGCCATGTAGATCCACGTTTTAGTATAGCCCCCATACAATGGTACCTCTTTCGGTATTTTGATGATTTTAGCTACATTTTCACCGGAACTGTTTAAAATTTGGTATTTGAAGATCGAAATGGATACTACAGCCTATGCAAATTGTCCGTGCAGGTCCACGTCTTCATATAGCCCCCATATAACGGTACCTCCCGGTATTCGGTATTTTGATGATTTTAGTTACATTATTCACCAAATTTTCGCATTTGAATATTGTAATGGCTTATGACAAAACTTGCCTATACTTATATCTAAATATTTCTCTCAACCAGAGATATGATGTGAATATAGAATTTATCGGCCTAAAATTTTCATTGACATTTATTCGCTCCACTATATCTGAAACCTCACCCACATTTCCACATTTTACAAAAATGATCACATATCTCATATAAAGTGAAGAAAGTGGTCGATATAGTCTAAATTTAGCACGTTTTACTATTTATATCTGACTTATGTCAGTTTGACAAAATTGGCCCTCTTCTTCGGAACCTCCTCCATAAAGGGTCAACATTTTGAATAGTCATATCACAGGTCAAAATATATTTATTATACGGACATTGGCTGAGGATAATATTAATATTGAATTAAATACTTACTAATAATTAATGGAGCTCGTTGCGGATACTGCATCCCCATTGGGGGCCAGAACGGAAATTTGAGCCGTACCATAATCTGGTGTATACTTAAGATCCACACTTGCTCCATAATGCGAGGGGTCATCAAAAGTCTTTATATCGTTTATGAAAAGTGATATGTTTTTGGCATAGTCCAGTGATAGAAGGTCACTCAAAACCTGACAGACAATTCATAAAAATATAAAATAATTGAATTTCGATAAAATATTTAAATATTTTTTAATTGTAGAAAGTCTAGAATGTTGTATCCAATATTTTTATTTTACCTCTTTATCAACTTCCGTGTCATATTCCCAACGTTTGACGAACCCATATTTCAACGCCTCAACAATGCGATGAATATCGACATCACGGAAATCCAATAATTTTACAAAGGACTTTTTAAATGGTTTCAAAATTTGCATTACAAAGGCCACAATATGACCACTGGCTGGAGGTGAAGGCACATGTAGAACGAAATCATCGATATCAATTCTTAACGAATCAACTACATCCACTTGATAACCATTTAGATCTTCCGTGGTTATGGGGCAACCCATTTCATTCAAATCTTCCACAATTAACGAGGCCAAGGTACCATTGTAAAATGTTGAAGGCCCATCCTGCATTAGCATGTTATAAGTGGTACATAATTCCTGAGGTATATCAATGTGACTTCCTTCGCGATAAAATTGTTGATTTGATGGATTTACAAACATTTGACGCAGCAGAGGATCTTTGCGAACTCGTTGCTCATTAAGGAACAAGGCATCGCGCTGATGTCGTGTCAATGTATAACCTTCTATACATAACTCCGTTGTGGGTTGCATTATATATTGCCATGGCAGGGATCCAAATCTTTTGTGGGCTTCATAGTAGGCAGCCACCTCTCCAGGTACGGCAATGGCCAATGGAGATTGGGCCAAATTTTCCGAATTCTCAAATGTTTTTAATAGTTCTTCTTTGAGTTTTCCCGGAGCTCGTTCTCTACCCATTATGCTAAAGGATTTTTGTGATTCTCTTTCATAATAAGTCATTATAACTCCTCCACCCAAACCCATACTTTGCATGGTCACCAGGCCATTACAAAGTAGCGTTCCAATCACAGCATCAATGGCATTTCCACCCTGCTGGAGTAAAGTTTTGCCAATATTACTGCAGACGGCTTTGTCGGAACACACCGCCGCATCCGAATAGACATGCAATGTTGACATGGATGGCGGTTGTGGCACCTCGACATTTGGTGGAATCAACCATTTGCTGTCAATGCGTCTGGCTCCACCACCACCAGCACTACCGGCACTACATGTTTTTTCTTTTCTTGCAGGTGCTTCTGTAACGATGGATCGGATCGGATGTACATGAATGGTAAGTGACAATTATTTCAATTTTTCATTTTCCCATTTTCCCTACCTTGCTTATCATTGAACACAAAAAAGTACAAATAGGCCAGGAGTAATCCTAAAACGAATTTAAGCCACATTTAAATGCCGTATCTTTTTCCTGTAAATTATTATTATTTTTATTAGTTTTGTGTTTTGTTTATGTTTACACTATCACAGTCGGTATTATTGTGTCAGATGAAAATATTTTTTTTGTTTTTGTAAATATAGAGACATGCGCAGTGGTGTTTTTGAGCTTTCGCATATCAATGGTGTACTAAATATAATGTTTTGAAGGTTCTAAAATCGGAAAACTTTTTCGAATGAAATGTTGTGGTATAACGGTTTTTTTAATTTCGATATAGAAAATATTCGGAAGGAGAAATTTTAACTACTATATTATTAATATATTATTTTCGTTTCAATATAAAGGCTATTTTTTGTTGCTGAGTCCTATAGGAGACGTCCTTTCTCCAACTTAGGGAATTAACATTTGTTCAGGAAAAATAAGTTATTTTTTTGCAGATTTTTTTAAAATTTAAATCAAAAAATGTACAACTTTGTGTTTTTATCTTTGAAATTGAAAATGAAAATTCGAAATAAGGAAAGAACAAGTAAAAAGCAGCTAAGTTCTCTCTTCCCTACCTTACTACCTCACTCCTCAATTTTGAAGGATCTTTAAATTAAAAAAAAAAAATCCGCCGAAAAATACCAATTAAATGAAAACCATTATATGGGGTTCGTATAGCCCCATGGTCCTGCATAAGTAATTTTTGCCGAATATCGGGAGGTACCGTTATATGGCATGATATACGATATCATGCACTTATATATGGTAGATATACGATATCCTGGACCTATATAGACAATTCCCTTACAGGCGGTAAAATTCCCGCAAAGAACTTCTTGTGTAGAATCTCAGACAATTCCATTGAAAAATGTTGTTATAATCATCAAAATACCGAATATCGGGGGTTACCGTTATACGATACGATATCGTGAACCGATATAGCCCATC